TTTGCTGTTTCTATTGTCCAGTTAGTCTTGTAAGACTCTTCTGTGATTCCATGCAGTTTCCTGTTATCCTTGGTATCTTAAACAACCCTCTAGCATCAGCAAACTTTCAAGTCCCTAAAACTAATGTCTTGATCTTAAGCGATAAAACAAATGCACTGCTTACTCTGGGCTTCTGGAATCCAGCAGTTAATGGATTATGGTTTTGGAAGTATTGAGCAAGAGACGTCGTCGTAGAGTGCTTGTGCAGCTTGCAGGCTGCAAATTTGAGCTGTGGACATTACAAATGTAGAGAAGTCTGTCTCTTACTATGTAGCTTATTTCGTTTCCCAGACGTTAAGTTGTTGGTGCCTATGCTGTCTTGCCTGCAGAGACTTGGGAAGGTTCTGAATCTGTGTTTTACAGGGGGTTGAAGAGGCTGTATTTCATAATATTCTTCACAGTTCTGCCTTCTGGGACTGTGTAAGTGACCTAAAAATGTCATTCCCTAAAATTGTCAGCCTAAGTATGTCGAAAACAAAGAACTTGTACAAATAGAGAGTGAAAGTGTACTGACTCCATTGCTTTTAGATGTGAATGTTTCTGTTTTCCTCCGTAATTGGATATTTGATTTTTTCAAAAATGCTCAGTATCCTGGAATTTGAGGGATCAGTTGTTTCTATTTTTCTTGAATTCTTAAAAGATAATTGTAAGATTATTTGTCATTTTCTTAATAATTCACGATTTTTTAATAGATAAAACTGCTTAATATGTCTTGATACCTTGTATTTTCAACCAAAGGCAAAAGGCTAATACCTTCTTCGATGCTTAACCCTTTCTCACCTTACAGGCACAGGAAACTATTTTTTGCACTCTTGTAATTGAGCCTTACTTTTGTGACAGCAATGTTAGCATAAATAAGCATATTAAATAATGGATGAGATGAAAATAATCACAGTAAGAAATCATACCCTCGCACACCCCCACCCCACCCCACCCCGCTTCAGTTTTCAGGTTTCTAGAGAGTACACAAGAGTAACCCTGAAAGCATTGCATGTTGGCTGGGTGAATGTATCCTATCAGTTTACAGTAGAGAGCAGAGCCATGCTATTGGGCAAAACACATTTAAATTATTATTTATGGAGTTGTATGTGGAGTTGGTATAAAATGCAGGGCTGGTTTCACATGCCTCCACCAGAGCAAGGAGAGCACGTTCCTGAACAAGATTCTCTTTTGTTTCCTATACTATGTGTGCTGTGGAAAGAGAGACATCTGGGAAAGGATACAGGTTAGAGCGAATAGTTACATTTTGGTTTAGGAATGCAGTCTTTCCATCTGATATTTTGGGCATGTTTTGGCTTTTTTCCATCCTGATTAATTTTATAATTGATACTGGAGTGCTAGCATTAATCAAATGTTTTCCAGTAATGTCTTGTGTCTGTTGACAGATGAGTATTCTGTTTAGTAGTGTGATATGAGGGACCTCCCAAAAGTCTCTCTTGACTATCTCCTGGAGTTACAGCTCTTAATAACACTGCAACTTTTTAGTGTTAAGCTTCTACTAAAAAACCCCTCCCCGCTTTTTCTGAGGTGGGAGGAAGTGTGTGTAAAGGGAAAGGAAGTCTTCAGCAATTCCTTCTTTCTCCCTAGGGCAAAGTATAAACTACAGTTTTATATGCAGTATTTGCTTTTCAAAACAATAGTGAAATAGTATTTTAGCTCTCATTTGAATTGTTAGTGTTGCATGTTAATCCTCAGAAAGCTTCATTTGGCTAGCAAGCATTTTATTTCTTATTTTAAAATTTAGTGTTGGGCAGAGACAAGTTGATTGTTGATTCCTAATACTGTGTCTTCCTCAGGAATGTGGTATTCTTTAGAAGCATAAAGGTAGTCTTTATCTGCCATATCTGCCTTTTGAGAAACTGAGTGAAGTAGGGCTTTTTCCACTTACAGTGCAACAATATCGATGTCTTCTCTTTTCAGTGCTGAAACCCCATCCTCTTTTTCCTTCCTGGAGAAGGCAGGAGGGGAGAAATTGGCACAGAGAGGTCATAAATTTACTTTCAGAGCCTGAGTGAGCAGCTGCCTTTAGAACCTGAAATGCTAAATAATGTCTTGTCCTTATTTTAAATTAAGTTGGACTCATTTGTAACTTTTTCTGAGGTTTTTAAACGGTAATTACACAATCGTCTTTCAGTAAGAAAGTAACTGCTAGAGCTTAGTTTCTCTGGAAGAAAAACAGGAACAGTGGTGTTGAACCCTCCCTGTCCTTTAAGTATCTTTGAAGTTTCTGGAAACGTGGTTCTACTTTTGAGTTTCAGTAAATCGCAACTAGTGTTTTTCAGTGTCAAATTTATGGATATTTTCAAGTAATGCTGTGATGAAACATGAGGATTGTACTTCATTACTTTGTTGAGTTTCACTTAGTTATATGACTTCGCTATGCAGTTGCTGTTCTTGAAGCAAATACTGTGGCTCAGGAACACGTGTAAAACATGCATTTTTTAAAAATCTCTTATGGATGAGAAACATTTGACTTCACACAGTCTTTTGTCACTGATGACCTCTGTGATATATTCGTAAGAGTATAAATGGTTTGTACTGTAAAAGCTAATGTTAGTTTGTATTTCTTTTTGAGATGATACATCCAGTGGGTTATGTTACTGTATTACTTGCTGTAATAAGCGGATCCCAAATGTATTGATCTTTTGCTGTGCATGGAAAGATCATGTGTGCAGTTGTATCTGGCATGTTGTAAGATGTGTCAGGCTTGATGAATGTGCTCTGTAGACTCGATAAATGGGTATTTCAAATGGCCGTTGCTGGATGCGTGCGCGCCAGCTGGAGCTACTGCTTTATCTAGATTGCCAGACAAAGTTGTCAACCTCTGCCCAAGTGTATGATAGTCTCGTCGTTGCCAGTACCCTAACATTTGTTATAGCACTGGTTTTCTAGCTCTATGAGCTGTCAAAAAGCTATGGTTCAGATTTACTAGATTTGTTGCAAGAGTATACTTTTTTCTTTGAGGTAATTTTTTTAAATGCAGTCAGCTTCACAACAAGCTGTGCACTGAAAATTCGTTTGATTATTTCTCAAGCATGCTATGGGTAACTTTTTTAATGTAGTCTGTAGAACGTCAAAATATCATTCAATAGTAATGATGCCAGTTTTACTCTATATTCTTTGGTCTTCTCAGTTTGAGTTTTCAGTTGAATAGGATCAAAAGCACAAGTAAATGTTCAACTCATGAACATGAAAAAGGCCAGAAATGTAAGTGTGGTAACTTGGTCCTACCTGTAAATATTAGCATCTGCTTCTGGAATCTAGTAGGCAGTTGTACCACTTAAAATTGTGTGTGTATAGCAAACATGTTGCCTTCATGGGGCTTTTCTGGTTTGGGTTTTGGTTTTCTTAGGAGTGTCTCATTTCAAATTATCTCTCAGTTATTTAATCTTCTGTGAAGGCGTTCTGATTACTAGTAGCCATATGGCAGGACTGGTGCATTTTTGACATTCTGATGATGAAACTGCAACAGCAAACAAAGTTTTCTGTGTCTGTTCATGCAAGCTTTCAGAGCTAAAGGGAATCTGGAAACTATAAACAAGTATTTTCAGTGTCTTAAATGAAAATTCCTGTTGCTTCACTTAACGGCACTTAAGGGTCTGAGGAGGCAAAACTCCTGGAGTTTTACCGACTTTTGTCAAAGTCAGACTTGAAATATACTTGTATGCAGCTGAGGTGGTGATGGGGAGAAAGGAGTGTGTGTAAGTGTATGGTGATAATTTTGTGACCTGAAATTAGTATTCCTGATCACTCTGTTTGTGTCGCATGTCTCATGCACTCAATCATCAGTCTGCTTTTTGTGCCTTTGAAATGCTTCGCTTTTTAAGGGTTGGAAACAACTGGATGTGTTTCATGTTTCTAATCAGCCACAGGATATTGAGCTCTGATAAACCCAATCACTCACTTCCACCCAGAATCTGTAAGACTGAAAGAGGAGTGGAAGTTTCCTCCTCTTAATCTTCCATCCTATGTCTTCTGACTCAGGGGACATGAAGAAAACAGCTGCCAACTATCTCATTCTTGGAAAAAGGAAGAAGATCCTGATGTGTCTAGTCTTCTGGTAGTCCATGCTTCAAATTATGGCTGTTGGCTAGTCTACCCTTTCTTAGGTTGTCTTCCAGAATCAGCAGTTCTTGTGATAACTGCAGTGTTTGGGTCTGCTGCAGCTAATCCTGGTTTGAGTAAAGTCAGCTTTGTTTTCCAGAGTTTCATTTATTTGCTCACAGTTGGAATGACAGTAGTCTGCTGTTTGAGAAAACCTGAAGGCAAAGTAAAGATGCTGAAGTGTCCTGACTGCAGACCATGGGCTGCAGTGGGTTACTTCTGGTTTCTTCTCAGAGATAATCCTCATAATCATATGACTAGTATTAAATTTTGTAAAATCCCATGTGTTTATTAATGTGATTTTTGATAATAAACGGTTTCAGAGGATCTGAATTTTTTAACTTCTTTTAATTTTTATAAAATGCTTTTTTCTCTGCAACTGCTGTTAGTCTCTCAGTACTTTAGTTACCAAGCTGGTCGTAATCATTTCTCAGATCCAATGTTGTTGGTAGTCAGGCTGTTGCCTGAATACTCCCACGGTATTTTCCTTCTCACGGTCAGAAATGAAGAACATTGCTGCCCTAATAAGCCTTTCTTTTGCTAGCTAATGAGTGAACTTGGCAACATGGGTCACTTATAAAATATCCTCAGTTCAGTGCCATTTGTGGAAAGAGAACTGGAAAAAAAAATTATAATTTGTAGTGGAGCTGTAGGAATTGCTTAGTTCTTGGTAAAAATTCCTTTTTAAAAAAAGCAAAAACCATTGGTCTGTCACATGCATTCTGTTTGGCTCTAATTTGGGGTCTTTACTGCTATTCTGGACTTCTGGTCTTAAATAGAGCATTATAAAAAAAAGACATTGCTTTTCATTTGTATTTTATGTTGAAAATTTCTTTCTTTCCGCTTGTAGATTTGTTTGTAAATGCATCATCAACAGACAGCCCAGAATGAAGAAAGCAAGCAGGAGTGTTGGCTCAGTGCCCAAAGTGCCTGGAGTAAATAAAACTCAAACAACTGAAAAAGCCAAACCAGAAAACGGCTCCTCAGTGTCTGCAGTAACAAAACTCTCCAAAACTGGGACATCAGCGTCTCTTTTGAAGGTAATAACCAATAGACTGTTCTGATTATTTATAATTTTTTACAATAAAGCTTTAAGAAGAGAAAATTTTAAGGCATGTCTTTAATGCAGCCTAGACTAGAGGTTTGTTATATGGGTAACTGAAGGGAGTTTGGATGGTTACACAGCACTGGGCAGGGTGATAGGACCTTGTGTGGTATTCATGCTGAATCTTTTGTATTGCAATGTGTGATGTGATGGAAAGCAATATACTTTGCAGAACTTGGCTGTTGTGCAAAAGGAGCAGAGTGGAAGTTGCATTCTGATGAATGTTATTAGTAGTGTCATGTGTTATGCTTGAATGGTGTGTCAGTGACTAATGGGATTTGATAAGAGTTATTTACTAAGACTGAAAAAAAGAACTAATGAGGTATTTAACATGAGAAACATTTTGATATCAGTGATCCATGTCAGGTCAGTGCTGCTGGATTCTTCTAGTTGTTTTGGCCTTTGCTTTGTGTGAAGTACTGCTTGAGCTGAATTTTCACAAGTTGATTCTTGCTCCAAGAAAACTTGCTACAAGTTCAAAGATAGAGGTTTTCTCTTATATTAGCAAAACAGGGCAGTAGATTTAGGAGCATATTGTTTTCTGCAACCAGGAAAAATAAGACATACCGAGGTGTGCTGATATGGCGTTTTCACCTGGGAGTGAACACATCTGGGTTGGATGGATGGTATGAGCCTGCCTGGTCTGTGTCCCTCTCCTGGCATGGAAACATGGCTGGACCCAACTCCTTTTGCCTTTCTGCAGCCCAGTATGCAGAGCTGTGGTGCTGCTGCTGCTGCCCTGGAGCAAATGAACAGAAAAAGGAAAAGGGCTGGTGTCTGCAACTGGGACCTGGACCCCTGTCACCTGCAGGAAGCCAGATAGGCCATTTAAATAACTGGCAAATAAAGATCTAAAATTAAAGAAGTGGTAGGAGTTGAAGTCTCTCTCTGATAGCTATGCAGGATTACTAAAGTCAAAAGGTGCGTTCCCTTTCTCTCTTTTCTTCTCACTTTTCTTTTGTGGAAGAAGGGTTAATACTTTTGCTGATGAACTTGCAAGCCAGGTTTCAGCTAGATTTTTCTCCTGGTGCCTCCCCTTTCCTCTTCCGCCCAATGTATCTTGCAGTTTTCTTAACTTGAATCTTTTGATGCTTGTTGACACGACTTATTTTGTATTTCTAGAAACCTCTCAAAGAATATGGAAACAAAAGTCCTTTGTAGTTTACTTATCAAGTTTCTTATGTCATACCTCTCATTGAGATAAAGGAGGAGGGTGATCTAACACTGAAGAAATTTGACCCAGTATGCTTTCACAATTTTGCTTATATTAGTAACACTTCTGGCTATGTTTGGGTGTGGGTTTAGAATGTATGACAAGTGTATGTTTGAGGCACAATGAAAATTTTTCTCTTAATTACTAAGACTTATCTCAGCCAGGCTTACTCATACAGTTGGATGTCTTTTACTTGTTAAGCAACTGTTGTGCCAACTATGTGACTTAATAATAATGATGAATCTTATCTTCTTTGAGTGTTCCGTGCTTATACAACAAAGTTGTTTTTACTTTTTTTGACTTACTGATACTGGCAAATCACATTTATAATTACTGGCTTGAAGTATCAATAACAAGTTGTATAATTGTTAAAATATTTTTTGTATAGTTTTATGTTTGATCTTGTTGATGAAACATGTGGCACATTGTTTTCCCCATGGTGTTTGTAGGATCTTCTCTTAGACTTGATGAATTGATGTGTGTATTATGAATTTCATTTAATATTCCTTGACCAAAAAAAAAAAAGCCAGCATTAAGTAACTTTAATTGCAACAGCTTACTAATTTATTTGGTCCTTGAAGTAAGTGTGCATATAGATACAGAAAACTTTGAGTTGGATATTGAACAAAAGGCCGCTATTAAGGAGTAGAAATACACACTTACAGTACTGTACCAATCTTAATTCTGTCAGGAATAATGTTGCAAAATTGAAAACTACTTTGTAATTATAGTATGGTTTTTTTCCTATCCCCTTCATGATATAACTATAGGCTGATCTTCAGCTGTGGGTGGGCTTCTGTCACTACACATTGTGCCATAGATTTGTGCTTTTTTTGTGGAGTTTTCAAAGTGTGTGGACAATAAGCAGAGGAAGAAACTGAGAGACCCTCCCTTCTGTACAGCTGAACACTGTTCCAGAGGTCGGTTTGTCCGTTTGCTTCAGAATGCCTTTTTGTCAGTTACTTCTTTGAAGGTTTTTGGCTCCCACTTTGCCCAGGACTTTTGTAAATGTTCAGCACCTCCTACCACCCCACACATGTTATTACAGCAGAAGGTTAATTGCCAGCCGCTTCTAGTTTTTAATCTGTCAAAAAATACTCTGCTAATAACAATGTGTTCTTATTTTTAAGATCATTGTTTTTTGACTTCTTCAGCTCATGAGCTTGTGATCATGCTAATACTCACAACTGTAATTAGATGGCAGCTGTACTTCATACAAATGAGTTGCAAAATCCAGTGTCACTGAAAAGCCAAGACTTGGACACCAATATTTGAATATTAAAAATTAGAATGTGTTTTCAGTATTTGTATGTCTAGACTTCAGTATTCTGTTTGCAAAATGCAGTAACTTAATTACAGATTGTTGTGAAGTTTGATGTTTGAAGCTTTCAAATGCAGCAACAGCAAGCATCAAAGAAAATCCCAGGTAGGAATAAGTGTGTGTGTGCGTGTATACACACACACACACATATATATATATATGTAAAAAGAGATTTGAATGAGGTGCTGTAAGTAGAATATACGTGTTGAGAAATGAAGATGAATTGTAGCGGTGATGATTCAAGTTTCGTTGCACTGAAAGAAAGATGTGAGGGAAAACAGAATATGAATTGTATAATTATAAAGGGTTTTTTTACATAGAAAATTAAAATAGGTCTGGATGAGCATTTCTAATTTTTTCATATTCTAATGTAGGGGTTTTAATGCTCAGCAGGATTGTACTGTTCTCAGCAAATGGGAAAAAACTGTTTAATAAACATATGACATTGATTTTGCTTCCATTAAAAATATACGCTACAGAAATACTTTGATTTTTAAAGTCACTCATGGTTGCCATTGTGGAACGTTAAGAAAAGAGAGCTGCTGGTTTGTAATTTTTCCAAGGCTTTGCTAAATAGTTTTCTTTGCCAAGAGTATACTGTTACAGTGTTGAGAAACTGTTTACTAATGGGCTGCAGAGGAGGCAGTGCCTCCCAGCCTAGACTAGAAATAGTGTATGGGTAAGTCAGAAGAAGAATGGCTGTCTTTTGTTCAGCAAGGACTGGAGATGGCTAATGTCAGAAAGTGTGTATTTTACTTACCTTTTTTTTTTTTTTTCTTCAAGCTGAGTCACACCTTGACCTATTTGGCTTGATAACATGTGCTTGTACTGTAAGAGTCTAAACGCTTAATCTAATTCCTCCACTCTTTCAACAGGGTAAAAATGCTGACAGCGAATAGTCCGTTTGAACTATCACGTTTGCGGACTGATTGGCAGGTTCAGTAGCAAAACAGAAAATCACTGTCTATGCCTTTTTGTAATACCTTGTTTTAGGTGATAGTTGCATCACAAGGTTGTTTCGCCCCCCCCCCCTACACCCACAAAATTAGTTTAGATTCGATATGAAATCTGATTAGATTACAGGTTAAGGGAGCATTGTCGTACAGTAATAGTGTGTGCTCAACTCTTTTCCCCCCCGCACAAGTAGTGTGGGCTTTGTTGATTTTGTAGCCCTCCAACATTTTTATTTTTCCATTGGTACTTGCATTGCATTTGCTGTTTTGCACAGCTGTATGACATAGCAGATCAAGGAACTGATCTGGCTCCTGGGAAGAAGGAGCCCTTTGAAAAGGCCTCAGTTTACACAGCACAGTGTGTAAGCACATGGAGAAGAGCGGGATAGAGCAACAGTGGCTTTTTCATAGCAGAAAAGCCAGCTTAGATGCACATCGAGCTAGAGCTTCAGAGGAATGTGTTTTCTTCCAGCCTTTTATAAACCTTTTTAGAAGGCTATAGCATTTCTACATGATTCAATAAAAACATTCTTGTCCTAGAGGATTTTACCCTTATAAATACCTGTTTCTATCTGTATTTCTAACAACTGCATGCAGAACAAATGTTCTTTTCCCAGGCTCCCTTTTGTTTTGCAGCTGCTCTTCTTTGCAAATGGCACAAATCCCATCCATGCCCTTTCCACAATATCGTGATCAGTGTTCCTAACTCTTCTGAAACTTCCACTTGCAAATTGAAACTATATGGAATGGAGTGAGATGCAACTTTTTTTTTTTTTTAAATTAAGCAAGCGTACCTTCATTCTTAATGTATAGAATCATAATGTCTGGCATATAGTTTTTAGCATGAATGTGTATGGGAGCTAGAAGTTACAAAGCTGCAGCATTTGAAAGTCGTGATGTAAAGCAACTGGTTAATTCCTAAGCACTACCTTTTAGCTGGGATGCTGGTTGTGACTTCAAGTGTGTTATCCAGCTGAATAACACAGTTGCGCAAGGAATGCTGCTAACACAGCTGTTTCCTTTTAATTTTTCTTGCCCTTATAATGGGAAAAATGTTTAGCATATTTTGATTGTTTCACCATTTGAAAAATTGCATTTTAAAGAGTTGTGAAGTCTACCAATTAATACTTAAGAACTTGGTATTTCTAGAGTTTGCTTTATTCTGAAAGACGTATTCTCTATTTGGGAATCTGTTTCTTGAGATTCCTGTGCCTTGTCACTTTCTAGGCAGCTTTTGTGGCTAACAGTAGTTTCTTGGATGATCATATGAGGTCAGACAAAAAGTCCATCAAACAAATATCCCATCTCTGAGAGTGCCTAGTAAAGAGCATGAAAACAAGGCAAGGATATATGGTGCAGGTGGCTTTTTTCCTCCCTCTGAATACTGTCCTAGACTATAGTGATTTGTAGCTTAGCATTTTAAGCTAGAAAGGGTATTTTATTAATGTTGGATTGATTTTTTTTTGTTGTTGTTGTTGTTTGGTTTGATCTTTTTGTTGTGAACTTGTCCACCAGAAAAGGTTTGATCATATTCTATAGAAGGACATTGTACTAACTTCCTAGTATTACAATTATTTAAGAATTGTCTTCATTTTTCTGCTTAAGCAAATTTTCATTCAAAATTGAGAAGTGTTACACAGTGTTGTGTTACTGTGCTTTCCTTAATCTTTTTTTTTTTTTTCCCCTCTTTGGTATTGAAACATCAATAATTTTGTGCGGGAGGGAGAAGACTCAGTTTCTATGGTCAATCATATGTAAGGAGTTGAAGTTCAATTTCAACTTACCAACTCTGCACAGTGCAGTGAATTTATACTTTTCGACACTCTTGCATATACCCATGACTGGTCAAATATGCACTTTTAAAACTGATAGAATCTTTAACAGAAGAAATGTTGGCTACGCAGACTTCTCAGCCAGCTGTCTTAAAGCTGCTTCTTCCCTTTCTTTCAGACCAAGAGTAATGATGACCTCTTAGCGGGGATGGCTGGTGGCAGTGGAGTGACAATGACCAATGGTGTCAAGGCAAAGAAGAGCACTTGTGTATCAACAGCATCTTCGGCTTCAGGGACAACTATGAACAGTCTGGAAAATAAACCCAAAACTGTTGCAGGTAAATGGATATGTTGATCCTTAAAGGTGGTAATTGGGTGGCTTTTTGTTTTCCTATGGTGTATTGAGGATCTAGGCTGCCTAATGAAGTGGTCAGTAAGGCCACAGTCAAATCAAACACGTTCTGTGCTCTTTTTCTTTTATTTAATAATGTAATTGCCTTTTTGGAGGGTGTTCCTTTTAATTTTTTCAGTACTGATTATGCAACTACTATGCAACTACTATATAAAACTAGATAATATAATTAACCTAGAGAATCATAGATTTGACTAAAATCATTTAATTTGTCTAAAAAAAAATCCATGCCACAGGCACTAGATCTTTAAGATGTGATCACTTGTTGCAGTCAACATTTTGGACATTCTGTATTGCTTTGTAGAAATAAGAGAGCTTGCAGAAACTGTTCAGAAAAGTGAAATTATTTAGTGTTTTATCAATATGGAAGGAAGTAAGTCTTGCCTTCCATTGCTGTTTTGGATTCAGTAATGCTTGCAAAGCTGTAAAGCTTTTGGAAATAAGGTAGTAATAATCTATGCTCATCTTTATGAAATGAGATGAAAATACAGAAAACCCTAACTTTCATTTTGCGGAATCATAATATGCCATTCATCACGTAAAAGCTTGCATTCAAATCTGCTGAAGAGACAGGCTAATTTGAATGTGTAGGAATAGCACTCCTGCAGTTTTTGTACAATTTGCCAGAAGCTGTTGAAGACAGGAAAAAAGCAACTTACCAATGTTGAACTTTAAAGTCTAACTCATTTTCAAAATACTGGTAAAGCATAGCAATTGGTAAACCATGTATTAATTAAATTATAACTGCACTGATTCATGATTAAGGTTATATAAATGTTTACTCTAAATCAATTTTATGAAATGTATTTACCAGTGTGATTCAGAAAATCAAGCACTGTATTGCTGATACAAAATACAGTCTTCTATTGCAGATACTGTATTTTAAATTAATGTTCCTAACTTTCAAAAAACATGTAGGTACAAGTTCCACAACTAAGCGTAGCACTTCATCTGGAAATAAAGAGTCAAGCTCTTCTAGAGAAAGAATACGTGATCGTTCTCGTTTAAGCCAGAGCAAAAAGATGCCTTTGACTGGACAGGGAACCAATGATACGGTACTGGCAAAACGCTCCCGTAGTCGCACCAATCCAGAATCAGATATTCGAATGAGCAAGTCCAAATCAGACAATCAAATCAGTGACAAAGCTGCACTGGAAGCAAAGGTGAATGATCTTTTGACATTAGCAAAAACTAAAGATGTGGAAATCTTGCATCTGAGGAATGAACTAAGGGACATGCGTGCTCAGCTAGGGCTTAACGAAGATCGATTTGAAGGTGATGAAAAATCTGAAGAAAAAGAGGCCATTGTTGTCCATCAGCCAACTGATGTAGAGTCTACATTGCTACAGTTACAGGAACAAAACACTGCCATCCGAGAAGAGCTCAACCAGCTGAAGAATGAGAATCGAATGTTAAAAGACAGACTAAATGCATTAGGCTTTTCTTTGGAACAAAGGCTGGACAACTCTGAAAAACTCTTTGGCTATCAGTCTTTGAGTCCAGAGATTACAGCTGGCAACCACAGCGATGGTGGTGGTACTTTGACGTCTTCAGTGGAAGGTTCTGCTCCTGGATCAATGGAAGACTTGTTAAGTCAGGATGAAAACACTTTGATGGACAACCAACATAGTAATTCCATGGATAATTTAGACAGTGAGTGCAGTGAAGTTTATCAGCCACTGACATCAAGCGATGATGCCTTAGATGCTCCGTCATCTTCAGAGTCTGAAGGCGTACCAAGTATAGAAAGATCTAGGAAGGGAAGCAGTGGCAATGCAAGTGAAGTGTCCGTAGCTTGTCTGACAGAACGGATACATCAGATGGAAGAGAATCAACACAGTACAGCTGAAGAGCTCCAAGCCACACTTCAAGAGCTTGCAGATTTGCAACAAATAACACAAGAGCTAAACAGTGAAAATGAAAGACTTGGAGAGGAAAAAGTAATCCTTATGGAATCTTTGTGCCAGCAAAGTGACAAGTTAGAACACTTCAGCCGTCAGATCGAGTATTTTCGGTCCCTTTTAGATGAACACCATATTTCATATGTAATTGATGAAGATATGAAAAGTGGTCGCTACATGGAGTTAGAGCAACGTTATATGGACCTTGCAGAAAACGCCCGGTTTGAGCGAGAGCAGCTGTTAGGTGTTCAGCAGCACTTGAGCAACACTTTGAAGATGGCCGAACAAGACAACAAGGAGGCCCAAGAAATGATAGGGGCATTAAAAGAACGAAATCACCACATGGAAAGGATTATTGAGTCAGAGCAGAAAAGCAAAACAGCAATAGCATCTACCTTAGAGGAGTACAAAGCCACAGTAGCCAGTGACCAGATTGAGATGAACAGGCTGAAAGCTCAGTTAGAGCATGAAAAGCAGAAAGTGGCTGAGTTGTATTCTATACACAACTCTGGAGATAAATCAGATATACAAGATCTGCTGGAGAGCGTCAGGCTGGATAAAGAAAAAGCAGAGACATTGGCCGGTAGTCTGCAAGAAGAGCTGGCACACACTCGCAATGATGCCAATCGATTGCAAGATGCCATCGCTAAGGTAGTGTTTGAAACACTGTTGTATTTTAACGTCCCGTGTGCACCATGACTTACTGTTGGTCACTGTAGTTCTTTGGGAAGTAAAGGATTAATTATGAGGTTATTCAGATTGCAGTAGTGTTAGGATTGATTACTTTCTCTTAACCTTTGTTATGAAAATGAGAGAGGCCTTTTAAAAAATAATACAGATAGATTCAGCCACAGGGTAACTGTTACTATTTCAAGGGCCAAACTTAAACAGTATTTAAGATACCGTATTAATTTTGTGCTTAAATTGCATGCCTTCTACAAGAGTTTCAAGGAGTTAGTGCCAAACGGGTGGAAGGAGGGATGTCACTGAGAAAGTACGGGAGTCAAAGTTTGAAGTGATAGCCCAGCTATTGATGACTTGTGCGACCTTTCACAGGTGTTGAGAGAATATTTTGAAGTTTCAGTTTATTCAAGTTGGTTCAGTTAACTTAGAATAAACTAGTGATAAAGAAAGCAGAAAAGTATCTTCTTTCTCCAATCAAGAAATGACTAATTTTGAGGTAGACAGAGATTTTACCAAATCTAATTTAATTTACAGAATACATATTTTAGTTGTAAATGGAAAAAATAAACCCAAAACATTTTCATAAGCTCTTAAACAATTATTATTAAATATGGCAAATAAACATAGGGTTTTTTGCTAATGATCCATCCGGGAGTAGCTTGTGTGTTGACTGGGTTTTGGATTGAAATGTGTATTTCTAGTTCTAGAACAGCTATTTTAATTCAAATAGAACTAATTTGTCTAGTAAAAGCATTTACCACAATTTTAATATAAAAATGATAATAATAATTTATTTAATAACTGTAAGTACACTTTTAAAGGTATATCTTCTTGATGAGAAAATTTATGCCAAATTTAATGTCTGAACTGTATGTTAGTTGCAAATCAACATGTTAGCCATGACCCATGACCACCATTAAAATAAAAAATACTGAAACAGGTGATTTAAAGCAGGGCATTTTGTCTATTAAAATTCGTTCCTGGCTGCATTGACCCACTCTAAACCATGATTGTAAGATTCCTCTGGGAACTACTTCAACTCACTAACACATTTCACACACAAATGTGAATCCTGCTACTTGGTTAAGGAAATTAATCATCTCACAGGTCCACCAAGCACTAAAATTGATGCACAGAAGAGAGCAGGCTTTTTTTTGGCAAGAGAAAAGAAAGGGTAAAGAGTTCTCCCCACCACCCCCTCCCTTTTCCATGGCAGGTAGATGTTAAATTGGATCAGCTGCTCATGAAACTACAGCTTTGGTAGTATGGTATTGTTGCTTCACTTAAATACAGGTTACTGCTGTTAGACTAGCAAGGGAATGCTCATATATACAGCTTGGGAGTGAAAGAGTTTAACTCTGGCTCAGGAAAATAGTTGCACTAGAACAAAACATTTTTAAAGGCTTACACTTGACTTCTTGTCCCATACTTTTCTTACGGTTGCAGAAAATATATTATAAGTATGGTAGTTATGAAACTGAAAGTGTGTTTTAAAATGCAACCGATTTAGTTATGATATGTTCTTTTTCAGGTTGAAGATGAATACAGAGTGTTCCAAGAAGAAGCCAAGAAACAAATTGAGGATCTCAATGTGACTCTAGAAAAACTTCGAACAGAACTTGATGAAAAAGAGACTGAAAGAAGTGACATGAAAGAAACTATCTTTGAGTTGGAGGATGAAGTAGAGCAGCATCGTGCTGTGAAGCTTCATGACAATCTCATCATATCTGATTTGGAGAGTAAGTGTTACAAGTTTCTCTTGTGAGAGAAATAATAATTTAAGAACAGCTGAAGTAGAACGCTGTAATAGTGAAAATATTTTCACTTGCCTTTTGTATGTCAGAATTCAAGTCAGACTGGGCTTTGCAGAACCCTTATACAAAAAAAAAAAAAAAAAAAAAAAAAAAAAAAAAAAAAAAAAAAAAAAAAAAAAAAAAAAAAAAAAAAAAAAAAAAAAAAAAAAAAAAAAAAAAAAAAAAAAAAAAAAAAATCAAGTTGGCTTTGCTTTTCCAGTCCTGGTAGTAGTTGGTGTGGGAATGAAAACCTGTGAAATGAGAATAAATATGAAATCTGATAATGCTGTTTACAAGTTGTTTTTCAAAGTAGCAGAACATGTAATTACAGACTTAATAATAGCATGCTCCTTGTACATTTTGGCGTCTGAATGGTTGATTTAGTGTTTTGGTGTTGTTTGGGGTTTTTTTAAGAATGCGCTCTCTTTCGAGTGCCCAGATATTAGGAGTTACAAGGTAGCTTGAGAATGTGGATAAGTAATGATTTCTCCCACCTGAAGAAAGGTATTTTTAGTGGAGAAATGGGTGAATGGAGGCCTTGAAAGTTACAAATGTCAGAGCTGACTAGGGAATATGGATGTGTTATGTATCTCTTTCTGTGTAGATTTGCTCAAGTCGTGAAACTGATCTGTGAATCTAAAAATGAATCTGACAAACTTGAAGCAACTTAGAATAAAACTTTTATCTGTTGATGCTTGCCACCATACAAGAAATGGTTGGGGCTTATAATGAAATTCATGTTTACTGTACACTTGTCTACCTATCTGTGCCTCAGTTCCTTCTCTGATCTCCAAGACCTGCTCAGACATTCGTACCACGGGCTGGAATTCTGCAATTAGTCTGTATCTAAATAAGAACTTGGGCAACTGTACCCTGGCAAGCTGTATTTGCACAGTGACACTTACAGAATTTAACTGTCTCCTATTCTTCCATGTTTTACGAAGATAAAACAAGATAGCAAAAAAATCAAAGCATGATCCCTTTTAACAGCAAGGGAAATATTCATAGAAAGGATTTTAAATTGGTCTGCTATCAAGAAAAGGTAGTGTCTTAAGCAAGCTAAATTGTTTATTCAACTGAAGCTTGATGTCTTCAGACATGTGACTGTCAGCTTGGTTTCCCTAAGCAATTTTTCTTTATCTTGAAAGGCAATCACTGTTTCTCTTTACAAAATTGCTTTAAGTTTTTATTCTGCAATTTTTTTTTTTTTTGCTCTTTCTGTGCCAAAACCAAAGACAGACATTGACTTGGGAGCAGGAGCTCAGGCACACGATCAGTGGCTCTGACTTTGTTCCTGCAGTTGTTTTGTAGCAAAGACTTAAAAATGTTGAACACTTTTCTACTTGCATTGTTTTGTCCATTACCTGAAATACTTTTCAAACAGGAAACAGCACCATAGTCAAGTAAACATTTAGGTATCTGCCTAGTAATACCTGATTGTAAGGCAGCTCTAAGTTTTAGATGTTTCTGTTTCGGGGGTACGAAACAGCTGTCAGATGTTTCACTTAAACTGGTAAAAATTCAGGCAGACAAACCTCTGCCTAGACAGAAATTTTAAACAAAAATTGTGACAATCTTTGTTACTCATCACTCTTGAAATAGTTTGGAAAATTCAGCTGTACTAGCTGACAGCCTGTTGTGATCCTTTAGTGAAAAAAACCAAAACCAAACAGTATTTTAGTTATAGGCAGGAAAGAGAGTGGCATCTAGTGGCAGTAAGAAAGGATGGCACCCCAAGAATAGTATAAACTTATTTTTTTTTTTTTTCTGAGCACTTTAAAATGCTGTTGGTTATGGGTTTGTAATTAAACCTCATACAGGAGTTTCTTGGTTGTAGCCTCCAAGTAGTGACAGCAAAGAACAGCATCTCAGAAAATCTGGGACTTGGAGGTAGTACATACAACATATAAACCACAGAATTCTAATAATGTGTATTAAAGTGACAGAAAAGTGCATCTTAGTGGTAGTAAGTTCTCTTATGCTGATCAGACGTTTGGTCAGTTCTGGTATTCTGTCAGCCAAATGTATAATGCCTGTACTTTTCAATGTGGAGAATTTAGTGTAGGTTTAGGTATTATAAAGCACTAGTTAGAACAACGGTGTTTCTTCAGCCTAAATAACCAAGTGTAATAAAGAACTATAAAGGTTTTCTTTAGTGAAGTTTTATTTTCGATTTTAAAATATGAGGAAATCTAACCCACAATTACTGAGTGAATGAAAGTGATGGCAAGGCTAAAAGATAAATGATAAGTGATGGAAAATTATCACTTAAAGAATCCAGAAAAGGCAGACTTTACAGTTAGGAGAAAGATGCTTCACAGATGAGGTGGTGAGTGTTCATTCAATTTAATGGTTAATCAACACTAAATAGTAATGTGGGCACGTGAAATGCTCCAGCACTGGTATTTAGGGCATACTTCATTGTGGGCTTTCCAAACACCAAAAAGAAGCACAATTAACATGTAATGAAACATTTTTCACAGTAATCTGAATATTGAACTGTCACATTTTAGCTGTTAATGTGTCTGCCTGCAAAAACAGGGATCTCTTTGTGGACAGTAGGATGTAAATTACGTTAAAAACATAGAGTGCATTCCTAATGCCCATCTAGATGGGGCAGGAACTGAAGTCAGTGGCAGCTGAACTCGTTACTGGTGGGATGAGGAGCTTTAAGCACAGTGCTTCTGTATTCTATCAAAAAAGTCTAAGAAATATTAAAATAACCTTTGTGTTTTATATCCTCAGTAGTGCGCTGAGATGAAACAAGCGGTAGTCGCGATGAGTCTGTAGGTGCAGGAGTGGAGGTGAGGGACTGGGCGAGGGCAGGGCAGGCTGGCAGTTGGCAGGGGCGGCGGGCGTTGCGCCAGATGGCGTTTGAGCCTCTGCGGTTCCTTGCTGATTTCAGAAAAACTTTCCGTAGTCAAGTACCCAAGCTGTCACATTAGTCATCTTCAATGACTAAGAGGGAAAAAAAGAAACCTATTATTCTTCCAAGCAGTTAATAAGAGTTTGTGGGGAAATTTTTTCAGGGAACTTTGTCTTCTGATTTGCAGAAAATTGATGTTTGTAGGTTAGCTTATCAGTTGTCACATGTTTCTTCTGAAGCCTGAAAACACTCGTGTTCACTTAGCACAAGGTACATGTGCTAAACATCAGTTCTCTTAGTCTAGAACTATTTACGTCAGTAAATTTTTTGGACAAGGGTAGGTGAGCAAGAGGGTTGATATATCTGGTGTTCAGTGAATAAATAGTTCTTTTATGGAGCTGACAGCATTAGTTTTTAATTCTGCATTGTCTCATTTTGAAAAGGATCTTGACAGCCATTGTGAAACTAAATTTTTATATTACCATATTTAGACCTTTTCTACCATAGTGTTGGAAAAGTCAATGGGATGGGAGTTTTCTAATTGTTCGTACTTTTTTGTTGTTGTTGTTTTGGCTAATGCAGGACCCTTAAAAAAATTCAGCTTTCTTGCTGTATAGACCTGTTGTCTGACAGTGATAAGCAAAAAAGCAAGACTGATAGGCAGATTGCCTGAGCTTTAGTACATTTGTAACCAGTGCTTCTTCCTTATATAAGAAAGCTGTAATTCTTAAATTAACTGTAATGCTGGCACTACTCTGTGTAGATGTGATTTTACTGGGATAGCCATTTCTATGCTAAAAAATTGAAATGCTATCCTAGTATAAGGCAAACCAGTAAAAAATGTGCGAGAATGCCCATTGTGGATTTGCCTGTGTCAGGATTACTTAATTCAGTGTTGCTTATCAAGAATTGTGATGTCATGTTTTGAAACTACTATGTATATCTGAATGTTGTAAGTGGCTTTTTCCATTTTTTCCTTTTTTTTTTTTTCTCCAGAGACTATTGAAATTAAACGATTGAATGTCAATACTCATTTTTACTTTGGTGATAAATTCTAACTGCTAATTATAATTAGTAGGAGTTACAGATACAGAATACCGTGATACTTTTTCTCTGGCAGCCTTACAAAATTCAGATGATATCTTAGTTTCTTCCTCCCACCTCCAACCCTAGTTGTAATGTTTTTCTTTACCATTTGTAGTCTGCATTTCCCATAAATTATTTTTGAACCTTTTCAAAAGCAAGGCCTTGTTAAATTGTGATTTAAATCAATATTGTTTTGTAAAATGTAGACATAATTGAATCCTGCAGTAAAACACAAGCAGCTTGCTGATTTGTCGTTTTTAATTATCCTGTTCATTCATCAGAATGATCTCCTTGTTCTTCACTTACCCTAAACAGGAGTTACTTTTCCTTTCATCTCAATCCTCTTTCTTGTCTATGCTCCTTCAAAGGAGGAGATTGGATAATGACAGAAGAGAAGTAGCTGTCCTACCATACTGAAAAGTGCAGCACATACAGGTGGAAAGGGTTTGTGTGTGTTAGAGGAGAATCGTGGAGGTTGTGAGGATGCAGAAAGGAAGGATGCCACAAGGCAGCTGTACAGAGAATTGCTGCCTGTGTACCTGTTTTGACTACTGGAATTTTCAGGCTGTAATTGGTAACACAGTGCGAAGAATGGAGTTCACGCTGTAAGAGGTGAAATCACTTGTCTTAGTCTTAATTTCTCACTACATTTCAAATTCACTTGCAATTTGGTAGCTCTTTTCAGATGGTGTGGGGTTTTTTTTAATCTCTTCAGTTGACTGGGGGAGAAGACTGTTTCCAGCAACTGCTCTGTGTTGTTTATAGTAACTGCAGAATATTCAGACCATTGTGTTTTACTTCAAAGCATAAATATACTAAAACTTAATGGTGCGTTTCATATCTTACAAAAGCTCAAAACAATGGCATTACACAAGCTTTAACTCTGAATGCATTTATAGTTTCTGGTTTGTGGTTATTTTTAGATGAACTATAGCTTGCTTGTAGTAGTAGGACAAATTTTATTTTCTTTGAACAGTCTTTAAAAGATAAAATGGTCATCCACTAGATTTTGTTTCAGAATGCTACTGGAAGCTCTTTAGGGCATGTTGACTTGCTGTCACTGTTGAAAGCTATCAAATTTGCAGCGGGTTTTCTTAGCATGTGTTTAAAGCGAAAAAGAGTGGGGAAGGGGAGCAACTTTTATAACTTTGACCTAAAGCTGGCATCTCAGTGCTGACTTTAGCTCAAACAAGTTGTGTATACAGAGACCAGCTAAAAATTGGAGAGCTTTGCTTAAAATATGGTAGCATGAGATTGAGTGGCCCACTCTGCTAGGCTTATCTTCAAAGATCAGTTGGATACATCTTAAAATGCACAGTCTTGTAAGTAGAAGATAAATACAGAAATATCTGTCTGATTTTAGTGTTTCAACTTTTCCAAACCTGAAAGGTTATCATGTTTTCAGGCCAACTGAAGTTTATATCATTCTTGTAAAGAAATTAGCTGTGGCGTTAAAAGCCTCTGTACTTGGGATTGTTGAGGCAAAACTCAGGATTTTCTTCTGATGAAAAAACCAAAAGGAATTCCATGACTGAAAAATTGAAATGTTTGTACGAGCATAGTTGAGGGTCCTGAATGTACACATCAGCATAAATCAGCTTAAATCTGTTCTTAGTCTTTGTCACATCTGATTTAAACATTTTTTTAAATGCTTACTATTTTCCATTTAGCCTGCCATAGCCTTATTTTCGTTGTTAAGCAGAGCCCTTTGACAAAAGACTAGGAGTACTGACGGTCTAGGCTTACTTGGGAGAACATTGGTAGGTATTGGTAGAACAGATGACTTTGAATAAACCCTGGTTTAATGGTTTTCATGAGACCTGATACCCACATAAAAGCACTGGAAGGTTTTTTTCATGTTAGAAAATAAGAGCCACAAAACTTTACTGTATCACTCTATATGAACATATATACCTCTCTTCTGACTGGTCAAACATATGCGGTTCCATAGATTATTTTTTTTTTTTTTTTGCCAAGGCTTTGTACATTGAACAGCCTAAATGTATTAGGCACCTTCGATCTTTTTGTGAAAAGGGTGTTGCTAATATACAGGAAAAATACTTGTTTCCAGCAGGTCTTGGAATAATGAACCTGAATAAAAAAATGCATTCAGTCAGTTGGCCCATCAGTTTTACAGTTTGGAAATAGCTACATGATGCTATAGAAATGAAACATCCTAGAATCCAAGGATCAGTGAAGTGACACACTAATTAGAAATTCATGCTGTGTTCTTCTTCGTTAGTTGCTTATTTATAAAAATGAAGTAATCAATCACATTGTCTTGTGTATTGAATAAAGTAACAAATGAATAATAATTGCAGTAGCCAGTCTGTTAGATGCCCCATGAGGAGCTGGTGGTGATCAAGCTGCATACTCTTTTGTATAGCTGCTGACAGATTAGGGGATCATCTCTTTCATAACATGATTGCATAGACTGTTTGTCCCTTTGCTGTAAATATAGCTTGCTTCAACTTCAAATAGTAGCTTGATAGACAAGAAGTGAAGATTCCTGAGGACGTGAGTAGAATTTTATCCCTGTTGAAGGTATGGCTGTGAGTGTGATGTCAGCTGCTTTGTGGCAGGGAGTAAATCATGCATCAAAAGGCTTCATGTAGCTGCAGCTTACATTTGAAGAGGCGAAAACCTTCAGACATCCATGTTTTTACGATCCTTCCATGTTAAATTACCTGCCCTGTTTATTTGGTCTTTGTTATTGCTTTGTCATTTTAATATTGTGAAGGGTAGAGAAGAGACTGGGATTTGTAGAAGAATTGAGTTTGCCTATGTTGTTCCCTTCACCAGTCACAGAGAAGTATGTACCTATTGACACTTCCTATCAAATTATTTCTAGTCATACTATTTTTCTGCAGACAGCTTCGGTTATAAAAATGTATTCTCCCAGTAAGTTTTTAAAAGCATTTGCAGGTTTTTTCAGTTACTCTTTTTTAAGTAAATAGATCCCTGACTAACATCTTACAGAGAATTTGACTTTCTTTCCAGATACAGTTAAAAAACTTCAGGACCAAAAGCATGACATGGAAAGAGAGATAAAGAATCTTCACAGGAGACTGCGGGTAGGTTAAAACCTAAAAACTCAATAAATTGTAAACTTGGAATGTCATAAGACCTGCATGTGAAATTGTGAAAATATGATTAAATTTAATACCATTAAAATAATTATTTCTGAGACAGGCATCATACGGGAATATATTTTCTAACCTATAGACACTAAAGAATTAAGTTCTGAACAGTTCTCAGTGTCACAAAGATATGGTGTTGGGCCTAGGAGAAAAAGTTCCTGTGTCTTCTGATGCATAGTTTAATATTAATTTTTTTTTTCCCCTCCACTCTGAACATTTTCTTTGTTTCTAGAAAAGAAATTCATGACCTTGGAAGTCTAGTTATTTCCAGCAACAGTTCTTGAATTTAACTTATAAGTTAGGTTGTGCCTAATGCCAGAAATGACTGCCTTTGTCATTCCTGTAAATTGTTTCCTGTAACAGCATAGGGAAACGATGAATAATAAGGATAACTTTTATTTTTGACTTCAAAATTCTCGCTGCTGCTTTCACTTTAAAGTTTTATTTGCTTATAGGAGGAGTCAGCAGAATGGCGTCAGTTCCAGGCTGATCTACAGACTGCAGTGGTTATAGCAAATGATATAAAGTCTGAGGCCCAGGAAGAGATAGGAGACTTGAAGCGTAGATTACATGAAGCTCAGGAGAAAAATGAGAAGCTTACTAAAGAGTTGGAGGAAATAAAGTCACGCAAGTATGCAAAAAACAACAGGGATATTGTCTCTTTTGTAGGGGGGATACTGAATTTCCAAAATTGTATCTTAACTATTATTGAGACTCCGGTAGTTCATAAATCCTCTCACTGTGAGGATCTGTATTTCAACAAGCTGCTTTATGCAGGCTTTCAGGAGTCAAAATAGGTAAACTTATTAAGAACAGTATTTGTTTCTTTATACTGTACACTTAATCCATCCAAGAATATTCAGTTTGGCGCTTTTGCAAAACCAAGTTGAAGTGGAGGATTTTTCCCACTTAACAGCTGGATGTGATTTAACTTCCCTTAGTGTGAAAAACAAGCACTATTGGTTTTTCTGTACCATCATTAATTCTTCTTATTAGCAGCCAAGGCTTTTGGTATGGTTGACAAGACAGCTGGATTTTCACCTGAGAAGAAACCTGTGTCTAATTCTGCATATATCTTGTACTGTGTTCTTTCCACTGATAGTTGTTTCTGGGAATAATTAGAGGTGCTCTATGTATAAAAACATTTTTAATAAAAATAATTTGTGGCTTGAATTAGGTGCTACAGTTATTTAGAAACTGAGTTATGTGACTTTCAGAAGTCTTAACATCTTCAAATTCATAGAATAGGAACATCTTGGACAGCACCATTTGAATCCTGACTACGTTGTCTCTAGGGATTGAATACACATATAGGTGGCAATTACAGTAACGATGTTTGTGATGTGCATACATTAAACAATTTTTTCCACATGGATGGGCATTTTATAGGATACATTACACTTAACCCAGCATTCAGTAGGATATGAAACAATGCAGGCTGTGGAACTTGGGGAAAAGCTGATGGTAGGAAGAGCAGTCTGGTTACACTGAAAATGGAAAATTATCTGGATAGGTGAGTGGTGGGTGTAAGGCATCTTATCTGAAGTAAGATCACCAAACTAAGTAATATTAACAATTCTTACTAATACATTTCAGCCAGAATTGTAATTGTTCAATTACTGCTTGCAAGTGAACCTTTGAGGTTACAGTTGCACTTTTGAAAGTAGAACTGGCTTGCTGATTCTGGTCAGTATATTTATAATTACCTATACACAAACATCTTTTGACATTTGGTTCACTGCAGACAAAGACCAAAGAAGCAACTGAATCAAATTTCTTGGAAGTGGTGTAGCTACAATATTGGAGGGAAGGTGTTAGGAAAGTCTCTTACAGTGTCTGAAGCAGAACTCAGTCAATGTTTAATTATTGCAGACTATAGAAAAGAGGTTACTTCAAACAATTCTTGTCCTATGAGTGACACTGAATACAATAACCACCATAAATTTTCTGTACTAAAAATAATTTTTTTAAAAACTGATTCATATGCTGCCTAAAGATGTATGCCAGAAATGTATTCTTACCTCCTTAGTGTTCATTTAAATTATTTTCTGTTTATGCAGGTGTTTATGCAAATTCTCCCCTCTGAGATGATTATTTTCATGTGAAATGGTGAAATCCTTAAGGCTCAATTTTTTCCATCCATGTGTATGTGTTGGGGACAGGGAGAGAAGAGCAGGAATTAAGCCTTAAATCAAGTATTGATTTGATAGACTTTTCACTTGGTGCTTAAGCTCTCTTGCTGACAAATAGTAAGAACTTACAGTGATAATTTAGGTTGATAATCTATTTCTAAATTACAGTGGAAAGAAAACTAGGTTAATATAATGACCAGTTTGGACCATAGATTTTAATCTAGCTTCAAATTTGTGTTGATTTTTTTAAGACTTTACATGTTAAAATGTTTTTTAAATGCCTTAAATGGGCTGCATATTGATTTCAGGCAGGAAGAGGAACGTGGTCGAGTGTACAATTACATGAATGCTGTAGAGAGAGATTTGGCAGCTCTGAGACAAGGAATGGGCCTAAGTCGCAGATCATCCACCTCCTCAGAGCCAACTCCTACTGTAAAAACACTCATCAAGTCATTTGACAGTGCCTCCCAAGGTAGTTATTTTCAACCAGTGTAGCTGTACCAAGTTATGATTTTGCATATTTTGACATGCACACTTCTAATAGCTTAGCTAATTCAAAGGTAAGTTATTTTACTGTACTGTCATGACCTATAAGCAATGGCTGAAACAAACTCAACCTAAACTAGATTGCACAACACATCGTTCACTGCAGTTAAGTGCAAGCATCCTTTTTTTATCGTCTTTCTTTTTTTCTTTACTGTTGCGTTGCAAATGACTCATATGCTAGATGCTTTGATTCAATGCTCCTGCATATTAGAATACATAAACACATATTACACACATAATTATAGCTAGAAGCACAGCTGATTTCAGCCTGACTATTAAAATGTTAACTTAATGTGCCAAATTAAGCATTCTAAAAGGCATGTAGTAGCTACAACTGAGTTTGTTTCTTTTAATGACTTATATTCTTATATTCAAAGTGCGATGAAAGTTAAAAATAAGGTCCAGCCTGTATCACCTATTAAAAGATATAGGGAATATTTTCTAAAATGAAAAGGATCTCACTGTTGAGACAATGGACATTACTATAATTCTGACTTTGAGATTAAAATATTTGCATTGCCAGGTCTTTGGGTTTTGAGTTTCATTTGCAATAATGTCCCTGTAAGTCTCTGATGTAAAAAAGCTTGGCCTGAAGTAGACTTTGTTACCTACCAGAGACTTACCATACTGTACGGTGCATGGCAAATTTACTTTTAATGGCTTATAACCTGAAAATTTATTAAGGTATAGCAGCATCTCTGTATTATTTGATGATTTTGTAAATGGTTCTATTTCCACATTTGTTCTCTTTGTTCATAGGTATTTACAGTTTTTTCCTTTTCTAGTGTTATTTTAGAAATTTTTTTTAATCTGTTATTGGATAAAGATGCTTTCTTGCCAGAGTTAGTTTGATGAAATGATAAATCCCCTCTCCCTTCTTTTCAGTCTTTTATTTCAAGCTAATATCTGCCTTCTTCCTCAGCATTCATGTCTAATCCTGCTGTTAGATAATCAGATGACTGATTCACCAATTCGGTATTTGTCTATTTTTGTACATTTATAAAAATGTTACTTGTTTAATCCCAAAATTTCAGGGATATAATACCTAGTATCTGTGGACTTTGATTGGAAACTAGAAAGGAAAACCAGATGATATAGGTTAATTTTCTTGTCTTACTGGCAGGCCCAGGAGCCTGCTGCCATCTCTTGTTATCTGGAGATCAGAGAGCTAATAATGTCATCATTTTACATCTGCCAGGGTAATAGTATCCTGCACCTTAGCCTTGTCAACCCCCAGTAAACTTATGTTTTTACTGTGGGTGATATATTCAAGACAGAAAATGAATGTAATTACAGAGGAGTAAATGTGTAGGCATACTTTTAAATGATTTTGCAGTCGGTTACTAATTGAATTTCTGAAAGATGTGATCTTGTAAAACTAGTAATGTAAAGTAGAAGGCAAGAGTTTGCTATAAGAGCCAGTCTCCTGTTTCACTGCAAAACAGTGCAGTGCTCACAATGGCTTTCTTTCTGTGTTTCTACTAGTTCCAAGCCCTGCTGCTGCCACAATTCCTCGCACTCCCCTGAGCCCAAGTCCCATGAAAACTCCCCCAGCTGCTGCTGTATCCCCTATGCAGGTAGGTGTTTTATGACTGCACTTAATCCTTCTTTGCAAAGAAGAACATGTGAAACTGCAGGTGGTAATACATAAATATTGGCTGTCTTTTTTGGGGAAATAATGATAATATGTTGCTTCAAGTAAGTAATTACTAGAATGTTCAGTTTAACAAAAGAGTCTTTCACTGAGAACCATCTTCTAAATACAAGATTTAGCATAATTTGGAAGTTCTTTGTAAATATTCTCAACCATTACTATTCCTGTGCTATGAGAAGCATGGGAGGAAAATTTTATCTAGATTCCTTAGTTTTAGAGTTGCTGTTTGTCAGTTCTTAGTCCTGTGCCTGACACAGAAACAGCAGTAAAGCCCTTCGGGCAATGGACTGAGATCTGTGCAGAATCTGTCAGCAATCATCAGTATAAATGTATCCCATGTTGCATGGGCTTTCGATATCAGACCTGACCAGAGAGGAATGAAATAATTGTGAGTTGATTATCTTTGTTCATTTTGTACTGACTGAGAGTTTGGACAGTTGGTGATTGCACTGTATTTTGTTCTGTCCCCTCTGAAGCTTTGTCCATTTGTTCAGCTGCTACAGGAGCCTGGGTACACTAAGATTGCATCATCAGTGGTCTAATGCTCAGCTTTATAGATCATTGCTGGTTTTATTATCTCACTAGCTGTGTGAAGTGAGATTTTGGCAAAAGCCAACAAGTTTAAGGTCAAAGCAGATGAGACCAGATTCACAAAGAAAAATCAAATAATGTACTATATGTTTTACTCCTTTAATATCAGTAATTCTCCTGTTGCTTTCAAGAGATTGCTAACCAGAAGTATGAAAACTTGATTTTTAGTGTAGGTCATCATAATGTTTTGGTAATAAATCCTCTCTGTGTGAACTGAAGAATCCATATTGGCTTTTAGTGCTCAAGGAATAGTATCTGGAACAGACTGACTGTTCTCCTGTGCTCAGACTGGTGCAACTTTTATTCGTTTAAGAGTGAATTTCATGAAACAAATAGCTTCAAAGCAAAAAGAAAGAATTAAATGGTTTTTGTGAGAGCTTCTGCTACTTCCTGTGGCTCAGTCACTCTTGACAAGAGTTTTGTAAAGTACTTAAATGTGACAAGTTCTCTGGCAGATGCTTTGTTCCTATTGATCTGTCTTTATATTTCTGATTATTTCTGTGCTCTTGTAGGAAGAGACAGACTTAATCTCATATTCTAAAAGGCTAGACCAGAGCTTTGGCAGGCAGAAGACTTTTTGATGAAGCCTAAGGCTTATTTCACTTTATTTACCTGTAAATTAAGCATGAACCAACGTAATCTCTTAGAATACTGCAAACCTGCTCAGGTTTATAGTTCTTGTTTGATGTTCTCGAGCTGCCGGAATTACTTGACTTTTGTATTCAACTTCTTGTATAAAACCAAGTCATTAACAGCTGCATACTCATTAGTGGGAAACATTGCCTGAAAAACAAAGGGGAGGGAGTGTAAATGAAAAGAGCTTCTATTGTCTTTTTGAAGATCTATTTTTCAAGGTACTTTTTCTTGAAAGTATTTGTAATTATCTAGAAGGCAACTGGGGTTTGTGACCTCAAATTATGTAAATTGCATTTAAAGAATATTTCTGCTTGGGAGAGAAGGGGGTTGGGTTCAAACCCAATTTTGATCATCTTTTCCCTTTCTTTGTTTTCATATTACTACCTTGTTTTCTACTGTTGTGTTCTATGCGATTTTTTTATATTTTATGTCTGTGATTTTTGCTCTTTTGCAATTGAAAAGCAAGATTTTAGTAAGTAGTCACTGTGTGAGTTGCCCTATGGCTCCCACCTTATAGAAGTCATCCATGGTTTAAGGTCTTGAGTAAAGATGGAGGCATTGATCTCTGTATGGGTGTTGCAATGCTTATTGTCATTAATCTCAGTTGCTTTTAAATGCTATCACAGGGGAAACGTTTACATGGGCACCTACTGAGAAACTGGCACAATTTTGATGTTATGATAAGATGGATTGGTTGCAAAAAAAATTCTCCAAGTACAGATGCATCAACATGTGCCCTCTCTGAATTATGCATATCACTTCATTTTTGTGTTGGACTGTGTCATCAATTTCCTCAGTCTTAGAGAGTTTTTGTTTGCTTTGTTTTTCTTTACAGTAATATGTATCTGAAGATACATCTAAGGAGATACATTTTTGCAACCGAAGACAAACAAACAAACAAAACCCTTTCTGGCAGTGGAACATAGCTGTTATTTACCATAGCGCTTAGCAATACTGCAAAACAATTTAGGAAGAGAGGTATGAAGAGAATGCTCTTCAGAATGTAAAAACAACCCTGCTGTGTTAGCCCAAAGCTTAACTGGTCTGGTATGTGACTGAGAGTGACCAAAGCAGATGCCTAGGGAGGAATATAAGGACAGGGAAGCATATCTGCTGCTTTCCGCAAGTACCTTCTTTTTCTGACTTGTAGCTGGAGGACTCTCTGAAGTAGATATGGTTTCAGATTTACTGGTCGCCACTGAATGTTCTGCTTTGCTTTGAGCACATAAACATTCAGGCTCCAAGCAATTCAATGTCAAAGACTTCCATTTCTTAACTACTTAATACGTGAAGAACTGTGCTTGTTCTGAAATTACCATGTGTAGGTGCATTGGCATGAAGTACTTAATGAAGTACGTACTGAAGTGCAAAGTGATCAGGAATAGGTACCTGGATAGTGGTTGAAGGTCCTGTTTCCTTCCATAGCCAATAACAGACAAAAGGATGAAGAGTCAGAAGCAAAATATTTGGAGTTCAAGGGGTTAGTTCATCCTGCCATAGTTCCGTCTCGAATTTGAAGTGTCAGGTGTTTGTTCTCCTTTACTTTTTTTTGTCTCACCTGTGTGCTGGTTCCTCTTCTGGAGTAGTTACTCATCTTACCAAAAAAAAAATAATCTGAAAGGAGTCATAGGTAGCTAGCAGAAACTATGTCTTCAAACTAGGAATGGCTGTGAGAAAGTAATTGTTGATGATCTTAGCATCTTTACCTTTATCTGTTACTGTAATTACGTTATACAGACTACTATGTGGAAACATGTTATTTAACTCGGTGAACAATTTTCTTCATACATCACATTGAAACTAGTCCTTAAAGTTTCTAGCATTTTCTTCTAGACCCCAATGTAGGATGAATAAGAGGACCACAGATTGCAAAGCATCTTTAGTAATTTATGTCCTATTAGTAGCCTCCATGGATAGCCTCAAAAGCACGTGATTCCTCCAAACTTTCGATCTTTTCATTTAGTGTTGAGGAGTTTGAACACTAGTGTAAAGGACAAATGGTGTTTAGCAGTTAATTGAATTTTAGAAGGTATTTCTAGTTGAAGAAAAAAAGGTATTTATAAAGGGATTGGTAATATCCATATGTGTGTGTTTGCACATCAGATGTGTTTTGTTTTGTAAGTGAAATGAGGAATGGCTGATCTGCAAATTCAGCAAAAGCTCAGTCAGGCAGAAAAGTTTCTAACACTTGTAAAATGTTTCAGGAGAAATTATTCTCCAAGGGACTTGTGCACTACTACTACTATGTAGATGATGCCAAGTGGAACTGGATAAACATTAGTTGGTTTATTTTTCTCTAATTTGCAACGTATTAGTCACTCTATTACTACTGGTAGTTGTAATAGTAAGATATACAATAAGGAGCTAGCAACAGTGAAAGTAAGCCCTGTGTGCAGTGTCAACAGGAGCAAAAAGACAAACAGTTCGTTTTATAACAAGGAGACAAGACCACTACACAGCAAGTTATCAGTTGGGTAATATGACCGCTTTCTGACAATATCCATAAAGGATGTTTGTTTTTAAGTGATATCCGGAAGCTGGAAAAGTGATAAAGATATATGATTATCCAGCACTATGCCTGCTCTGTACATACCTTTGTTTCCTGGCTGAAGTTCTGTACTACCCTGGCTTTGTAATGACAATCCCAAAGCCAACCAAACTGAAATCTTTTTCTTTTAACCTCATTATCTAGCTATTGTAGCTGTTTCCTTGAGGGAGAGTTGGGGGTGGAACAAAATGACTCTCACTTTGGTACAGACCTTGTCCTTTACCTTTTAAAAAAAAAAAAAAATTTTCCTAAATGAGTGAATTGAACTTTAAAGGTAATGCAAGTTTGAAATACCAGCTCTTATGGGAAGCTGTTCTAGGCACTTCTGTGCATGGCTCACAATTGCAGTCACTTTCACTTGCATGTTTTAAAGGAATAATCTTCGTAGTGTATGTGCAGGACTTCTGATATATAAAGTGATTAAATTCTTCATGCTATATATTGGCAGTTGTTTTCTCCGTTTAATTTCTAGCACAAAAACATAACTCTAGTTCGACTCCAAATGATGAATAAGTAGCCCTGTAATCCTGCCTGTGCTACAGGATGCTGCAAAGTATATACCGTTGTCTTTTTTTATCACAGTTTTGGATTTATCTGTCTTGCCTATATGATTTGGCACGAGAAACACATAACCTTTGTTATCTTATGAAGATAAGGCTCATTTAACCTTCTCATCTGATCTTGGGCCAGAGGGACAGCTGAAAGAGTTTTCAGGATAAACACATTACTGGACTGATTATGATTAAATATTGGAATCTAATGGAAAGGACAGGGTGAATAAAGCGTGTACTAGAGTTTGCAATAGTCCTTTGAAATGATTAATTAAAAAAAAATAATTGTGGACAGTCTTCCCTGAGTCTTCAGCAACTGAATATGAGTTTCAGTAACTGTGAGGGTAATTATTGCATTGTATAGTTCATTTGTGTGATACCAAAATGCTTATTTCGGTGCTATCCAGTCGTTACTAAATCCAGTCTGTGATCATGTACTTGCACTTTAAGCTGCCAGAAGCCATGCATTGCTAAATATTTTACATAAAACTTGGAAAGAAAAAATTCTATTTGTTGCTGGTTTAGAGCAGAACAGAAATTAAAGTGACCTGAGAAAGAAAAAAAGAATTATATTTTTATTTTGTTACATATTTGATATCTCTCTCCAGTTGTTTACAGAGCATCTCAGTTAAATAGGTGGTAACAAAAGCTCTTGACATTCTGAGTAAAAAATAGTTTTTTCAGTAGGGTTTTTCTTATCAAAGGGTAGTTTGTGTCATTACACTTGATACACCATTATCCTGATTTTCTAGGAAAAGGCACAAAGCTGTAACAGCATATGTTAATAACACAAATCAAGCACTAAAATCTTGGCTAAATATAGGGGGTTGTAGAGAAACACTTGAAGTTTAACCAGAACAGGTTTGTATAAACAAAATATAAAATAAGGTGAAAATTAATACAAAAACTGCAAGAGAATTCACAACCTTAATTTGCAACATTGGCTTGAGGAGTAGGTTTCAGTTTAAAGATGTAAATGTTACAATATCAATGCATAGTGTGTGTGTAGATATGTATTCAGATTGGCAAAAGCAACCTGTAAAGAGGACACACCCTTTTTCACCGAGTATTTTTAAAGATTCCTTTATTTTTTTTATTTCTTTTAAATCAGTAATAATGTCATATCTGAGTTTCTAAAACTGATTCTGCAATTCCATATTTGGTTTTTTTACCTTCAAATTATGTTTGACACAAGTATTTTTGCATTTCAGAGGCATTCTATAAGTGGACCGATCTCAGCTTCAAAACCCCTTGCTACACTGACAGACAAAAGACCGAGCTATGCTGAAATCCCTGTTCAAGGTATTTATTCAAGTTCATTCAAACTTTGTTTTTAGCAATGCTATTAATACTTTTTTAAAATTTATATAATTTATAGCATTATCATATTCCATACTTCTTATTATCAAAATATTTTCATAGAATATCTGGCATTCAAGTTTTTATTACTTCTGTTTCATCACACATGGTGGCATATCATACTATGCTTTTTTGAATTTTCAACAAAAGCATGTTTGCATGCTTATAACTCAGCATTATCCTGACAGTTTTTAATGTGTGCATAAATTGAAATCACTTGCAAAATCAAGATAAGATGATTTCAGGGACATGTCTTGCAGCTGTCTTCCAGGTATTAAAAATACACACCTCTGGGGTTACATTATGTATTGTGTTGTTGCAGGTCCCCCTCGCCCCCCCAAAATGAAACAAGGATGATGGTTGGCATTGCATTGCATGTGAATAACAAAATATAAACTTACTAAGTACTGAATCTTCAGGAGCCAGATGAAAAATTGAATGGAATTAAATTAAGTGTTGATTTATCTGTTTCCCAATATTTCCCTGTTCTGTGAACTTTGTTTTGTCTCTCAAAACACTGTTTACAATGTGCTCTTCCTGTGAGAATGAATGGCTATCATGTGTTGGGTGTAGCTCTCTGATTTATGCCTGCTTTAGGTTGGTTTTTTTTTTTTGGTAGATGTTTCTCAAGATAATCCCCATATGACTCCAGGCTGAGTATTTCCTCTCAAATTGGTATTCCTGAGGTCTGATGCTTTCTAAAGGGTTGGAGTTTTTTTTGGTAGCACTTCATAATAGTCTGTATGTGCCAGATTTCCTTCTTGCTTTTGTTGAATGCATATTGAGCTTATTTGTACAATGCAGCTGGAGTTTTAATTTTAGAAACTTTGGTATTTTTAGGAATATTGAAATGCCTTTCCAAGAAGATAGTTTAGGATTCTTTAATTGTTACAGAGTTCATTGGTAGACATAAGCTTAAACAGAAAATGAGTGGTATGCTTTACATAGGTGTTGCGTTTTCATTATAGTCAGTTAATGCAGAAGCAAGACTGCATTCCAATAGAGTGTGCCAGACAGAATTCCTGTTTACAACCATATCTATTTTTAGAGTATCTTTGTAGCAATGTATGTTTCTTATATCGAATTTTCAACTAATGAATGGGGTTTCACTTTTTTAATCCTCATTCTTCATTTTCATGATTTATGTGTTCAAATTACTGCCTTCTAAGTGTTTCTACGTAGGAGTATGTAAACCTTTTGTTTACATTCTAAAGGTTTTATTTGAAGGAATATTTCTTCAATAATAGGAAATTGTTTTGATTTGATGCTACAGAAAATGAATTTTGTTGTAGTTTCTTTTACTCATTGGCAGTAGGCAGAACTGATTCTTCCCATACAATATGTAAAGGCACCTTTTAGAACCCACTGCATGGAAGAGTTAAAAAAACCTCATGTTTTCATTTAACGTGTAAAAAAAACCAACCCAACAAACAAAAGGGGGGGTGTGGTGGAATCACATGAGGGACAAAGCAATCTGCTTTACCAATCCACATTGTGAATGACATACTGAATATTTTTGGCCATATGCTAAATGGGGATTCCTTGCTCAGCCTTTTGGTTTCACAATTCATTTTTTTATAGACCAGGGCAAATGGATTAGTAAGAGGTCTTAGAGAAAAAGGATTAAGAAGGTCATGATGTATTCATAGTGAACTTCACTGGCAATGAGTAAATTTAGGCCTTCTCTTTCATACGGGTAAAATCAGTTGCTCTCACTAAAACAGCCTAATTGGTAGACAATATTCATGACTCATACCTAAATGTCTTACATTTAACTGGAATCTTCGTTAATGATGTTTTCTCTTCTTTTTCTTTGTCCAGAACATTTGTTGAGAACATCTTCTACCAGCAGGCCAGCGTCTTTGCCAAGAGTACCTGCTATGGAAAGTGCCAAATCTATTTCTGGTAATATCACGTTTTATAGATGATTAGTAAAATTAGGTACTCTCATTTCAACGCTGTACTTACAGATCTGCTTTACTTTGTCAAGAGATAACTTTGGTCTTCAGACCATCAAGCTCTTGTCAAAAAACCTCCATTTGGATATTTGGAATAGCTTATTTTTCAGTGTTCAAGTTTTCTATTGAAATATTTGGGGAAATAAACTAACGTCCAGTGGTAAAATAGTATTCCATTTTATTGCATCAAGTGAAACAGAAGAGATACATAGACTTGCACCAACGTACCAGATGGAGGAGTATGAATCATGCACCTAACAGTTGACTTCTGTGTCATCTTTCCTTGTATTACAAATAATTTTGGTGTGCAAGGTATATGTGAGGAAAGAAGCTGTTCCTGGCTGTTACTTTTTGCTGCTTGGATGTAGGATTTTGGGACTTTTTTAAGTGAGTGAGGCAGAGAAGCATATTACCCTTCTCTAATTAAGCAATTTCATTTTTGTTTGTGGAAAGAATTATTTTCAATTATTTAAAATAGGAAGATTGTTCTTTTTAGGTAACAAAAGCATCATTATACATTATGTAATGCATATAATGTTTTTGCATATTACCTGGCAAAACTCCTACCCATTCGGGAGGACAAAAGAGCGTTTGTAGTGAACCATTTTAAAATAGTCCATTTTGTAACTGACAGAACCTACAAATATTCTTCAGTATTACTCATCGTGGTTGCTGCACATTTGATGTTAACTTTAGATTTTTAAAAAATAGACCTGCTGCAATAGAAGTTTATGTGGAGTGTTAGTTTACTATCAGTCTGACATCTCAGTATCAGCAAGGGCTTTTAAAAACAAATCTTTTAAGATTTAAAGCACAAATAGTGTGATACTGTGAAAATGATACTTTCTATAAACTAGGCAGAACTAATTTGAGAGAAATATTTTTTTAAATCTACTATATTTTTGAGTAAATGGTTTCAAGAAGAGAATGTGTTTCAGATCATTTTGATTTGTCCTAAATAAATAAAAAATGCACCAGAAGGTTTTTTCCCAACTTCTTGTGTCTGGTATTTATAAATTAATGTACTTGCCCCAAGTTATTAGAAAGTAAGTCTCTGATATATATGGAGGGTTGTGCACTTGATTTGCACAAACAAATGTGCAAATTTTATACATAGTATAAAAGGCAAACCTCGTACTTTTAACTGGAAACTCTTCCATGTAGAGAAAACATAACCATACCAAATTTGGTTTTACAGAGTATAATGCTTGTGCTTGCATTAGAAAGAAAAATTGTTTGTCCTTTGATAAAATGAAGCAAACTCTGTGGAATGTGGCTGAATGGTCTCAGGTCAATATTTGATATACTTCTTGTTGATATTTAATTAATGTTCAGAGCATCATGTACATGCCAATTCTTGATTAAAATTAAGTGGAAATAAAGCAGCTGTCATCTCTATACTGTTTTGGTTTTCTTTTTTTTTAACTGTTTGAAGCTTAGCAATGTAACTACATGGACTAGAGAAAATTAAATGATTTGGTGTTAAAATTCCTTCTCATTCATTAAATCCTTCAAATGGAAATAGTGATATTCCATTTAAGATACATTAATCAAATTTTCTTTGCTTCAAGATACAGGCTTGATCATAAATGTTGGTAATGCAGTCTAGATCCTTGATCTTTCCTAAGTGGAAAGTATCGAGAAAAATGTTGAAGCCTAGTATTGGATATAGGTTTCTATGCGTGGTTTCTGAACTAATGCATGTCAGAGAGCAAGAAGAAGTTGTAAAGTTTTTATGTTTGCAAATTATAAATATATCGGCATTTTCACACTTAGTCTCTCGAAGAAGTAGTGAAGAAATCAAGCGGGATATCAGTGCAACTGATGGAGCATCTCCAGCATCTCTCATGGCAATGGGTACCACCTCACCACAGCTGTCCCTCTCATCTTCTCCCACGGCATCAGTCACCCCTACAACCAGAAGTCGAATAAGGTAAAAACCTTTTTTTGTGGTGCACTGAAATGTGTTCATTTCATAGCGTTCTGTTTGCATGTATCTAGTACATAGTATTGGCACTGAGTCTGCAGGCTCTATTGTCACTCATACAATAATGATCTTCAGTAATCTTTGAGAGCTTCAGAAAAGGTTTTCTGCAGCTCAGTATATGTTGTAAAAGTTAGACCAGAAGTTAGGCTTTTTAGAGCTTATGAGGTTAATACCAAAATTTTATGCTCCGCTAGAAAACCAAGCGAAGTGATGTTACTAAATAATAGCATCGTATCAGTTCAAAATACTGTAAGCCAAACTCAAGAAATGAACGTACGGCATGTTGAACAAATCTTTCAGAGTGGCTTGGTCCCAGGGAGACCACATGATAAACCTTAACTTTTGTAATTGCAGCTGAAGACAAAAAGCAGGATGACTAGGTCTTAATTCCAGACACTACCATGTCTTCTAAATAGCCATGAGTGAATGGGCTGGGGTTATTTGTCCCACAGATGACATCATAATGCAAGTCTAAGTAACAAATGGCCAGGCAACCCCCTTTCATTAGTAAGATAAAAAGATAAGTCTGTGATAAATTTGAAACTTTTCTTACCTGTAGCATTCTCAGTCAAAGGACTTCAAAGTATTTAAGCCTCGTGTTATGCAAGTGAAGTATGTGCTTAGCCCTGCTTCATAGATTGGGAAACTGGCAGACAAAGGTTAAATGAGTTTCTCAAGACCGTTTAACGCACAGCTTCCTGACAAAGCTTTTGTACAGCAGAAATATTAAAACCTTAATGTTATGAGATATTTACAATATGTAATAATTACATTATAGAATTGTGAAGTTATTTACAGCTGTGGGTGCTATTGAAAATTATTTCCCTGAAATCAGCTGAGGCATGCCTCAGTGCTGCTCTCCTTTCGCTGTGCAGAAATTAAATTGTGTTTGGATCTGTGGGTACTTTACCAGCAGCAATTAATATTGTGTGTGTTAGCACCTAAATTTAGACCAAGTACATCCAGAAATAAGAATTTTAAAAAGGACTAAAGCACCTGTATATGAACTTTGAACTGGTAATGTATAAAATTGCATCGATGGCAGCCTGCAGACTGTAGCAAATACTGTGGCATTTCATGGTAAAACTGTACAGTTGTAATTATGATATCATTACTGTGTCACCCAACCATTCACTGTAATGCTTAGCACTACAAGAAGACTTAGTAGTGGAATCTGCAGCAGTGGGTGTGCAGCGATGAGCACGCTCTTTGGAGCTCTCAGAATGTCACTGCTGGACTTCAGTTTGTTATGTGATCAGGTTTCTCTTTTTTCCTCTACCTTTGTCTGAAAGTTATTGCAAAATAAACAGTTATTGCTATAGTTCACTAAGACAAATACTTGCAGTTTACTGTTCCGTGTTCTAGTTGAAACTTCATGGGCTCTTTGATTTGGAATACAGTTAACCTAATATACTAACTTGTAAGATTTATATGTCAAACCATTTCTCATTGTCTCCATACAACTTACACTAATTTATTTTCTTCGACAGTGTTTTCATAACTATGAGAACCTGATATAAACCATGTGCTCTTACTGGAATTTGAGAACAGGCTGTACAGCTCCCTCATGGCTAAACAGTATGTTTAGCATAAAGAGCTTTTAATTTGAGTTCTCGTAAGTTGTCCCAAATCTCTGCTCTAAAAGTTCTCGTAGTGTTGCATAGACTTCATTTTAGATTGAAAATGCAATCCCATTGTTATTTGTTTCAATTACCAATGAAAAAAATACACCAGATTGGGTTGTTGAATATGTACTGATTTAAGAACTGAAGTACGGAATTTCTTGCAACATAATTCTGGCTCTGTGTTGCCTATGAAGTTTAGATACAGTAACATATTCAGGTAATTTATTTCATATTTAAAATATACAACTAGCGGCTTCCTTGTCATGTTAAATCTCTCTGAGATTAGCAGTTAGGTTTGAAGGCTCATACTGCTCTCTTTAATGCTGAAAGGCGCTTACTGTTTCCTGTTTATTGTTCTGCTGTGCACATATTTTCATGGATGTTTCAAATGCTATCTCTTTCTAAGCGACTTTGAGATCTTGCCATCTGTATTGCAGTGAAGACTGGCCAAGCAAATTGTAGTACATATACATAAGATTAGTGCCTTAGAACATTTTGTTGTATGTTGGCACATGTTCTCTCCTTTTATGCGTTGAGTGACAGACACCGATATGTGGAACAGTCTCTGGTGTTCTGTTGGTAGCACACATGCGTGAAGAAATCCACATTCCCTGGATGCTTTCTTTTCCCCTAGCAGGACCTGGAGGATTGCTACCTGTAAATTTGCAGCAGAGAATCCACTGAAAATACTATGTGTTTCCACGTTCCACCCCTCTTTCTAGTCACAAAATGGGTTGTAAAGAACAAGGAGTTGAAGATTTGAGAGTGAATGTGTGCAGTCTGTATGTCCTTTCGGAAATATCCAAAAGGAGTAACTTAGGGTATCATGTTTGTGGATGTTGTGAGAATCTTGCTTACATCTGTATAGAACTCTTCAAAAAATGGCAGATGAGCAAATCTTTGCAGTATAAATTCATTGATAGCTATCTTATTTTAATTTTCCAAATGGAAATTATTAAAAACAAGAAAAACTACTGGCACACTTTACACACAGCAACTAAGCTCCGTCATAGTGTAATACATAATCTTTTTGGCAAAGATTCTTCACTAGACAACCTATAGAAATACTGGATCACATGACTAGGCCACTACAAAAGTATTAACCTCTATAATATGTATTTTTTTTTAAGCTAAGCACTCATTTCTGAAGCCTGAGATGCTTGTAATGTAAGACTTGTGAAAAAATGGCCAACTTGGATATGGTCATTCTTTTCTTCTCCAGTCTTTCCTTAAAGAAAAAATTACTTAAGATAGCTTGACAGACTGGAAGTGAAATTCATTGATAGCTTTATTGTGCCAGTATATCAACTGGCAGACCCGCCTAGTTAAATTTCCCCCTCTTTTTTAAGAATTCCAGATCTCAGGCAAATCTTCTGTTAATAACGCCATGCTGCTAACATGCAAACTTGTTTCAAGGTGACATTTGTAATCAGCCATGAGATGCGAAAGAGATAGCATCAGTTTATTCTCTTTCGAAATACAAAATAAAGTCACTTCAGTTAACTTAATGGTTTGAGCTGGAACTTAGCATGCTGTGAGTTTAATTTTCTGAACTCTTAGAAAAAGTATCCTTAAGATTGAAAGACCTAGAAAATAAAGTTTAATTTAAAGGAAAAAAAAAGGATGATTTGCTAATGAAAGAATTACTCCAAAATAACTCTCAAGTCTTTGCAGGTATTTCTGTGTATTCCGTTTTTCAGTCAGTAGTGCTGTACCCCTACTACTTTCACTGTGGCATTAATTTGTCCTGTGTTTTAAGCTTTTACAATATGTATTTCTGTTGCAAAAGATATGTTAACGAGCTCTAAGTTGCGCTTCTGCCTTGTTCCTAGGGAAGAGAGGAAAGATCCCTTGTCTGCCCTAGCAAGAGAATATGGAGGATCCAAGAGAAACGCCTTGCTGAAGTGGTGCCAGAAAAAAACAGAAGGATATCAGGTAACTGCAGAGCTGTTTAACGTAGCATACTTCTAGCTGCAACACATTAGAATCTGCCAATGGCATAAAGGAGGCTGCTCCACAGTTGACTGCATAGATTGCAATGGCACTGGTATGTACTGTACTCTCTTCTTGGAACACATGCTACGAGTCCTAACCTAACTAACATTAATAGCTCTTTAGTCACTTTGCTCCATGTCGATAATAGCTTTTTTCTTAAGGGGGCAGCTGACCTCCTATTGAGGCACTTTAAAACAGCCTCTTACAGATTGCACTTTTGAAACTGTAACTGAAACTTTAGTAACTTAAGGTTTAAATTAATGTTTCCCAAATGCAGTTAGAGTACCATTTCTCAGATTTCAGAGATATTTTTTGATAGGTAATTAGTGTAGGGGTTTTTTGGATCTCTCAATGTGCTCCCATTTAGTCTCTATTTAGACAGTTTGTTTTGTGGTCGCATTGTCTTGCATTTTGAACTTGGCTTTCTACTGAGGTTCCAGACCTTTTTTTTCAGTTAGTCCAAATGTTATCAGAAGCCAAAAGAACTAACAAGATAACTATCCAGAGTTCTCCTGATTACATTATTTTTTCAAAAGAATAGTGGCTTCAGCAAACTAAACCAGGATGTTAATAGTCTGACCATGATGTATTTGTTTGGTTAACTTGTATTGAAAGTGTTTGGAGTTCCCAACACAATCCTCAGTTTAAGAACTTTACTCTTTCCATGACTTGAGACTCACAATGCAGGAGGAAGTTGAGAGCCACATAACAGGATGATCGCCCATCCATAGGAAAAGTCATTTTTCAGTACAATGGACAGGCTTGTGATATAAGCCCTCCCCCCTCTTCCTGTGGCACGTCTAGTACTAAACTGTGCTATTTCTGAGGATAAGCTTCTTTGTGGAACAAGCCTTTCTCCTTCCCCACATTTTAAAAAAAGCAGGATGTTGTATTTCTTTATAAATCCTCTAAAACTGAATGCAAAAATATTTTCCTGTATTGTCTTGAAATGAAAGATGAATTTGACAGTTTCCTTATCTGGTTAGGAAAAGTAATGGAAAGTATTCCAAACTTTGTATTCTGTAGTTGTGTGCACATGCAAGAGCATGCATTTGTTTATATAGATTACTGCTTATAATTACTTGAGTTTTACGCTAGTAGAAGAATAGGTTTTGAGACTTACTGTACTTGCTTCATATGGTTCTCTGCTTGTGTTGCTACTGAGAAACCATAGCATGTAGCATCTTTAGAACCGATGCATGCCTTCTTTTGAAAGAGTAAGATACTATCAGACATTTATATTAAGTTAGTTTTTGGAGAAGAATGTCTTTTGCTTTAGGCACACTCATTTTTCATTTCTTCGTTGTACAGAATTTGATTATTTTCAGCATCCCCTGAAATTCAGTTCTGGTTGAACACCATGTTAGTGGTGTTCTAATGTTTTAAACATATCTAGCATTGTATTTGTTGGGAGTAGTGCTTATCCAGCTTTCTGGCACCTCAAGGTTATCAATACCAGATAAGGACTTTTTTTTTTTTTTTTTTTAAAATTGAAGCTTTGCTTAGTTTTAATTTTATTTTAAAACTATATGAATTCAAAACTGAGAAGCAGTAAACAAGCATCAGAATAATGAACATCTCCCTTCCTCATTCAATCCTACTTAAGGTACAGTAGCTCTCTTCCTCCTTCCATCACCCAAATATTGACAGAGTACCTTTTCTTACCTCCAGCTCCTCCCAGTGTCTTTCACTCTGCCACAGTTCCCTTTTATCTCCAGTGTTTCCCATCATTCTAACTTCTACTTTTCTTCTATACCACTGTTTGCTTTTGTTTGGCTTAGCATCTGGGCAAGAGCCAGCACATGCTTTTTAGAGCTACCTGGATGCCGACTGATCAGCCATCTTCTGCCCCTGAGCCGCTGCGTGAGCCACGCAGAACAGAGGAGTCCTAAATATCCCAGCCTTTTCCTCTGAAGGAATAGCAGTAGATCCGCTTTGTATCTCCTCACCAACTTCTATCCTCTTACCAATTTAAATAAGTGTTAGCTATTATTTATTTAGTTCCAAATATAACAAGTTAAAGGAAAAATACTTGCAAATTGAGTCAGTAACAAGTTCTAAAATTACCTGGAAGATCTGGAAACAAGAAAAATAAAAAGGAAGTCTTAGAAGGTTTTGTTTCAGGATAATTCTTTTGTTAATTTTGTCCTATTCATATTATATCAATTTGTTTCTAATGCAAATTAATTAGACTACCAATATTTAAGTAAAACTCAGCCCTGTAAGCTAGTATTTTTCAAATATGTCTTTGCCAACATGGAATGTGTTTACTACTTGATCAGTTGCCAACAGCGATCACTTTGTTGGTCTTGTTTTCTGCCTCTCACTTGGAGGTGATGTGTCACAGCTGTAGGTTTTATGCATAGGTGTATGTAAAATATTTATAGAAAATTATTTCAGCTGTTGGTGTTTCATAGAGAAGATGGAACCATGCACATTGAGTTAAAGCCCCATTTCTAACAGAGACATGTTTGCTCCTGGTATTGTTTTATATTTCATTTCTGGGATTATATTTTGCACTGGATATTGGAGAATATTTGAATTTCTCGTTTATACATGGACTAATAAATAGTAATCATAGAGATAGCCAGATACAAATCTTAATTTCAGAAATTTTGTTTGAAGTGTACAGAGTTATAGGTGAGCTGCCAGTCGCTTAAAATGTTAAAAAGAAGGTATGATGTAGTTGGCTTACCCTTATTAATAAGCAGCAGCAGCATACAATTGACCATTGTTCTCTTTGTAGGCCAGCTGTAGTTCTTGAGCTGCTTTTTATTCTGTGTGTTGAAAATACTAAAGAAGAAAAAAAAACACCAACAAACCAAACAAAAAAAAACCCCACAACAAAACCCACACCAAGGTCCGTAGAAGGTTTCCTTTATTCACAAGATACTTGTGGAGAATACAGTGCTATGTAATTGCTTGGTATAACTAGTATTTTTTTTTTGTCTGCTTAAGTAAAATGGAAGAAGAATAACTTCTGCTCTCCTGTCCCCTCTAGGAAATTACTTCCAAGCTTTTGATTAAAAGTCTTAAGTATCTCTGCTTTAGAAGCTTGAAATTTTGTGAATGCTAAATAATTCAAAGATGATAGTGTGGTGAAGCTCTAATTTCAGCCCATTATAGTGAAAGGATTTTATTTAAAGCCCTTCGCACACATTCACAGACATTAAAGCCAAACTGTGCTTTCCACCTCTGACAAATACATGGTTCCACATGGCGAAATTTTTAAAGGTAACTTAAGACTTCCTCTTTTGTAAATGTGTTATGATAAACAAGCTAATACCTAACCCTGTTAAAACACTATAATAAATTACTTTATTGTGAAGTTTTCTTGATTTATTCAAGCAAATTTGGAAGGGAATAAATGAATAGATTTCTTGAAATGTAGTTGTTAAACAATATTTAACTGTGTTATAAATCTGGTATTTTTTTAAAGAGTATCTCAAAAAAAAAAAGATTAAAATAGCCAATGAAAATAAGAGAAATTCTTACTAATATAACAAACTGTATGGCTTTTTCTCTTAGTATATTGTTGCTTTTAATATACATGCTGTCTGAATGTTGTTTGCAAGCAGAATTTCTCCTTGAAGCTTAGGTTTGGAGAATGGTGATCTGCAGAAGGTCATTGCAGAACTAACAGCAGGCAGGTTCTGTATTAACTTTCATGTAGAGCCTGTTCAGTCTAGACAGTATTGCACCCACTAAGTTAGTTTAATTATATCCAGGGCTGAACAGATCCCTAAACTATGGAAGAGAAGAGTTGCTCTTTTAAGATAAGAGAGGGGGTTTTTAAGCATTTAGATAAAAGAGGAGCAAATCACCTTTTAGTTTTCAGATGAACATGCACAAAATACTCGAAATTTGATCATGTGTTAGCTTTGCTCAGGATCTGACATACTGATTCAGAGTACAGTGCCAAGTGCTGCATTTTGCAGAGAGAGGAGAATCCTCCTGGCTTCTCTAAAATATGTGCAGTGTCATAAAACTATCGTAAATTCCAGGTATGTTCAAAGCATAAAGTAATCCCATCCAGCTGTTACGGAGCATTTACCCTAGCTGGAACATAGCTACTTTCATTTTGAGTACACAGAAGTCCAAAAAAGGATGTGACCATGCATGTTTCATGTTAACAAGGGGACCAATAAACAGGATGCACACATCCTTACCCATTCTTATCTACAGCAATATTTCACTTTATTTTCCATTTTTTTCTTAGCATTCTGAGAGATAATTCACTTCCAGAAGTCTGACACCAAAAAAGCAATTAATACAAGATAGCAGCAAGAATAGACTGATTTTTTTTTTTTAACCTTTATTTAAGTGTTCCACACTTCCTAATTACAGATACACTGGAAGACCTCCCTAGTGTAACCTTGTATCTCTCCTCTAATTCATGCAATGCTGCTTTTTTCTGGAAAGACTACCTCATTTTTACCTCCTATACAGATCAAAGCTACATGTCTTACAAAAAATTTAAAACTTACTGTCTACATGGAAGCAATAAACAATAAAACTGTTTAGTGATTGAGCAGTGTGATTATAAATGTATGTGTACTTTATACTATGGTGAATGCACCTTGAAATCAAGCAATGCTTTCATTTATACTTGAGTAATAAGATAAAATAACAAAGCTAAAGTTAAAAGATGATTTGGGTTGCTTTTTTTAAACCTGTTCTTATATACGCATGTCTTTATCAACACTAAGCTAGATCATATTCTACTCAAAACATTATATTTATTTTAAGAAAAGCACAAAAAGAGAACAAGACTGTGTGCTTATGTAAGCCTGTGTTCAAATAATGGTTCCAGGGTGTGCATGCTTTCCCTGGTGCTGTCTGGTTGATTCATCAAAGTAGTCAGGCTACCAAAACACTTCTCTCCTTGGTTTAGGCTGTGATGCTTTTGCCAAAAATTGTTGAGTTAAGGAAGGACATCC